GGCTAATGCTTTAATATTTCTGCATGAAAAATTTACAGAACATTGTCAAAACTATGCTCAATAATGTATAGAAGGTTTGAATAAAATTGCTCAATTCATATTTGAGAAAAAAAATCGGAAAAAAGTGTTTTTTTTTACGCTGAAACCCTTACCCCTCCCTTAAGATGCTTCAAATTGAAAAAAATAACAATACTGAATTTATTTTACATATCCTTAAAACACTTCAGGAACATAATTTATGCGATTCAATTAACTACATAACGTGCAAAATTACAAACATAAATTTATTACAAAACAATTTACTACTCATCTACATTTTGTGCGTGTGAAAGGGATTTGAAGTAATCATGATGTTCCGGTGGTATATATCGTAATAGGTCCATTATGTCCTTGAATTTTGCTGTTGTAATTTGTCTGATATTTTTATACAGTGGTGTCAATACAATATTTTCGAACTTTTTTGGTCTACCCCGACGTGGTAATAAATTCAGGACTTTAAAATTTTCATTCTTATTCATTGATGTCTTATAGAAAATTTTATACGGTTCATTTCTGACAAAACGCATCCAACATATTTTTAGCCAGTTTATTGATTCTCCATTAGAATTTTTTACTCTTTTAAAAATTGCATCTTCTAATAATTTTGTTCATACAATATCTTCTTGTTTCATTTCATTTACAATAAAATTATTACCTTTCCGACACTTTTTCATAATCTTGTAATAATCTTGGAGAACGAACAGTAGATTATTTTTTTTTAATGACATTTCTACCACGCCAAAATCTCTATCATTTGGTAAAAACGAATGTCCTGATATTAAAAATTTGTGATCTATGATTTCTACATTATTTTCCAAAGATTGGACAATTTTTAACCACATTAAAGCTATTTTAATGTTTCTACTTTGCCCGGTGCACATATCACTGTAAGTTATAATGTGTCTTTCACTTTTTATACTAATTTTTTTACTGATAAATAACATAAAGTTGTACACGTAACCATGACAACCAGAAAAAACTGGAAACGGACTTAGGCCACTTTCAAAATAAACGGCTCAATTTATTCTTATAAATCTTCACATACAAAATAATGAATAAGTAGTGAATAGAAGTAATAAATTAACATAAATTGAACTCCTCCACATATAATGACGTCTCGGAGACGTTATTTATTTCATGTGCCAACGTAAATTTTGACGTCTCCGAGACGTCAAGAACTGTTTTCGGCTGTTTCTACTTTGAGAAGTATCACACATTACAAAATTATTAAATTATTATTTTATGGTATTACTTAATGAATTATCAATCTTATTTAATGTTGTAAAGCAACTTAAATCTCAAAATAAAACACGCACACATTTTATTTGTAAATAAAGAGGTGAAAGATCAATCATCAATGTTATATTCAACTATAAATATAAATGAATGTAAAATCATTCAATACAATGTGTGTGAATTTTACCAACGTTCACAATATAAGTCGGTTATTATAGAAAAACGGTCGATTGTTATAACTTTAAAAAAATAATTAAATTAAGAAAAATATGAGAATGTTCGGGAAACGAGATAAGATTTCTTCGGTGATATTAGCAGCAGTGAATTTGCGAATTTTATTTAAAGTAAGCTATTTTTTATGGATAAAATTATTGGCACCAAATTTAGGTTTAAGTATAGATTTGACAAGTCAAGGTAAATGGGCAGTTATCACGGGAGCAACCGATGGTATTGGCAAAGCATATGCCAAAGCATTAGCTGCTAAAGGACTTGATATCGTCTTAATATCAAGATCATTAATAAAACTAAGAAACGTCGAATCTGAAATAAAAGAGAAGTATGGGGTGGAAACTCGTATCATTGAGGCTGATCTAACTAAAGGTCAAGAGGTGTATTCAAAAATAGCTGCAGTTATTGAAGAACTCGAAGTACAATCATTTATTGCATGTATAATGAGGGGAAGATGATAAAAGTTATGATAATAATAAAAAAAACCGTCTTTGCAGGTTGGTATTTTAATTAATAATGCTGGAATGGCTTACGATTATCCAGAATTGATGACAGAAATGCCAGAAGAAACGTTGAATAAAATATTGCAAATTAACGTTGCTGGTCTTACCGGTGTAACAAGGGTAATTCTACCAGGCATGATAAAACGAAAGAAGGGTATTGTTATTAATATAAGCTCATTATTGGGTGAGGTTATAAGTCCATATTTAACAGTCTATGCTGCAAGCAAAGCTTATGTCATTAAATTCAGTGCCGATTTAGCTAATGAATTATCTTCGAGTGGTATTACCGTGCAATGTATCATTCCTGGACCAGTTGCTACCAAGATGTTGAAAATAAGGTACATATAAGAATGCTTATTAGTTTATTCATTTATTCATTTCCGAATGAGTTTTTTTTTTTTTTTGTCAAATTTATTGTCGATTATTGAAAAAAAAATTGAATATATTTATTTGTTTGTTTTTCATAGAACAACAAATTGGATGATACCGAGTACTGATGACTTCGTAAAATCTTCCTTGAAAACTGTAGGAATCGAATCATTAACAACTGGATACTTTTCTCATCATTTATTTTATGTATTTGCGAACACTGTCGCATACGTTTATGAGAAAGGTGCAATACAACTCACACGTCGGATTATGTATAAAATGAAAAATGATTATCTTAAATATAAGATGATGAAACAAAAAAAAATGGAAATTATGGCAAAAAATGATGCTTTAATTTAACGGATATCATGACATTATACTTTCGGTCTACGTGACGGTTAAGGGATACTTTAAAGAAAGACAATTTATTAAACACGTGCAAGTTTTTATTCGATTACAAAATTATTCGTTAAAATTTCGTGCATAAAATTTGTGTATATTTTATAATAATATATAATCACACGAATATATAGGTTGTAATTTATACCAATAAAATAATCCTTAAAAAATATCGTCCATCGGATTTACAAGCCTCATTTGAATATTTTCTGCAATCGATATCAATATATTTTGTTTATTATTTAAAAAAAATATAAAACTTCAAATAATAATATATTCGAATTTCTTTCGTCAATTTGCAATAATAAGTAAGGTTGGAGAAAGTTTAATTGAAATGAAATTCTACAGATAAAGTCTAACTTTATCTGACTGATAACGTGGTTCTAAAATAATATTATATTTGAAGAATAATATTCAACGATATCTACCCATATTAAGTTATTGTCGTGATACGAGCGATTAGGTCAAATTTTATTGTTGGTATAAATCACGGCGACGTCTTCCTGCACCACCTTCCATTGCATCTTTTGCCTTTGACATGAAATCGCCCATAGCACCCATGGCAGATCTCATCCCATCTTTGAAAGTATTTGCCATATCAGAGAATTGTCCTGGAAAACCAGGTCCTGTAGTCATGTCTTGCATATCTACGTCACGCTCGACCTGCAAGCATGTAATAATCATTAATATTCATGAAAAATTATTGAGTATTATCAAATATAGTTTATTATTACGTACTCTCTTATCGGTTGTAGTCTCCTGTTGATCTTGTGACTTTGCTTGCCCAAGCTACGTTAAAATTACATTTTTAATATTAAAAGTATAACTTTTTCATGAAATTTAACTATTTTCTATTAGAAGTATACATTTCTGTATAAGTATTTGTTAATTTTTAGTTAATCTAAATTTTATGTCTACTACATCTACTAAAGTTCATTTCGTATCTATAGAATCTATTTTATTGTATTGCACAAATGTCACTTCGTATATGAATTACTAATAAATTATTCTTAAATCAAATACGTAGGATTAGAATTTTCAGGCTATAATTATTCGTATTTACTCGTTTTACGAGCGAAAATAAGTTTAAATAATTGGATACTCGTAATTTATACCAATGTTATGATAAAAAAAAAATAAACTGAATATTACTTACTACAAGCATTAGGCACAAGCAAGCAACAGTAACGTATTTGATCATGTTCACTTCTTATTGTATTTGCTTTCTGTCCGTACTTCTTCTACTTATAAAATCGTTAAACTCGCTTTTATATAAATCCTACTAAATACGATTTCGTTACGGTAGAAAAACCAAAAAATTGATACGCTTATATTTTTCACAGGAAACTATCGATTTTTATCTCTAAGTTTATATAATTTATTTTTTTTTCCTTATTAATTTTATTTTAGTCACGTTAAGGTATATGTTCATAATAAAATTGAAGTATTTAAATAATTATTTCTAAGAGATAATTGCTCAATTGTATATAGGAATCATTTTCAACAAGAACAATGTCTTATAAAAAAGGTAACTATTATAAAATGATTTAATTGTTCTTACAATGACACTTATTTTTTTATTTAATTATTTGAGATTGATATTGCTATGATCATGGGTATGATAAATTGAGAACATCGATAAGAATCTTTATTGCGTAATTATATTGTGTAACATGAACATCTTTTTCTTACAATTATTTGTTATGTTAAGATGATGTAAGACATTAATTAAATAAAAATTTGTTTTGATCACACATTATAAACACATTATAAACACATTATAATCATGCATATAGTAATAATCGTTCAATATTATTTATTTTTAAAATAAAACAAAATAATAAATTGTTCATACCTTGAATAAAAACTGTATTGAATATCATTATTTATGAGTTCTTGCCAGTGTGATGGCAAAATTTGTACATCTCATTTTTTAAAAATCCCTTATTCCTAGAGCGAAAAATTGAATTAGTGTTTGTCTGAACAAATAGAACTTTTCGGTAGACTTAATATTAATCATTGAATTATAAAATAGTTGTTTAGGTAAATTTAAAAAGAAGAAATTTGTTAACACATCAAAATCATGAAAAATATTATTTAAAAAATATACATTATGTATATAATAAAAGTAATTTTATTATTTTGTCGAATAAATTAATTCGTGTGTTTTTAAAGTCATTTTTTATTAATTTTTATTAATTCCTTAAATAAATACAGTAAATTTTGTCGCTAAAATTGTGTGTGACGCTATATTATGAAATAATAAATTTCAACTTATGGTGTAATATTAAAGATTACGCGCTAGTGACATATAGAGTCAAATTAACTCTTAAAAACTTCTTATGTTATCGATATATAATTATAAAACATAATAATATATAAATGAAATTCATAAATAATACTTTTTAAATTATATGTAAATTTATGAAAATATAATACATATTATATAAATAGAAAAAGTATTTTTTTCTAAAATAATATAACTTTACTAGGGATTTTTACTTGACTAGGGATGTGTCGTCTACGTCATAGCTACATAAGCTAGCCTTCTCAGCCGTGGTGTCATTTTTTGTATATTTTCAAGTTTTACACGAAAAATGTTGTGATTTAGTGAAACATTAGTCGTATTAAAAATCAAAAAAGATTTTTTATTGCTACGATTGCAAGTAAATCGTTGGTATCGTCGTTAGATCATTAACGTCAGTTAGATTATTATTGATTGAATGCATCTAACCTTAAAATTGTCCAAATTTCAAGCACGTGTTTGTAATATCGATTGCATATTGACAAGGAACATCAAAAAGAAAAACATTCCGGCGTATTCATTAAGTGCGCATTTTCCGGTTTGTTGTTCGAACCGGCTAGTATGCTTTATAAGACCAGTAATATTCCAAGCATCCATTTATATACTTTTGTGTTTAGTGAACGTTATACATTTTGGAACGTATATAAAGTGAAATAGTATTTATTATACTATTATAGTGCATCGTGAAATAGTATTTAGCATACTATTATAGTGCATTGAGACTTCGAAGCTTAAATCTCTTATATATTCGTATACATTATTTTGTATTATTATTTGTTTAAGTATCATTTATATTTTGGACCATTATTTTTTACATTAATTAGAAACAATGAAGGTTATAAAGGCAGAGAAGCTATGTGAGTTGCAACAAGATCCTGCTCGTATTCGTAATATTTGTATACTTGCACATGTTGATCATGGAAAAACCACGTTAGCAGATTCTCTTGTTGCAAGTAATGGTATCATTTCTAATAAACTTGCTGGCAAACTTCGATATTTGGACAGTCGACCAGATGAACAACTAAGAGGAATTACAATGAAATCTAGTTCTATATCTCTTTATCATGTTTATAATAATAACGAATTTATGATAAATATCATTGATTCTCCTGGTCATGTTGATTTTGCATCAGAAGTTTCAACTGCGGTTAGGTTATGTGATGGTGCTTTTATTATCGTTGACGTTGTCGAAGGGATTTGCCCCCAAACTCGCAGTGCTCTTTCTATATCCTATATCGAAGGTCTCAAGCCTATTTTAATTTTGAATAAAATTGATAGATTGATAACGGAGATCAAATTGTCGCCATTGGATACTTATTTTCATTTAAGACAACTTTTAGAACAAGTTAATGCAGTTATGGGAGAATTATTTGCAAGAGATATAATGGAACGCGAAGATAAAGAACATACCAATACTTCTAAGAATGAGAACGTTACGGAAACAAATCTATCCAATTGGCAATCTGTACTTAATGAAGTCGATGATTCTAATTTATATTTTTCACCAGAACAAGGCAATGTTTTGTTTGCCAGTGCTGTCGATGCTTGGGGATTCAGTATAAAAGAATTTGCACAATTTTTTTCTACAAAATTAGGCTTCAGTGAAAAAGTTTTACTAAAAACTCTTTGGGGAGATTATTATTTAAATAATAAGACAAAAAGAATTATGAAAGGAGCCCAAGAGAAAGCAAAGAAACCTTTATTTGTACATCTTATTCTTGATAACTTATGGACTTTATATGAAACTATAGTTGTAAGAAAAGATAAAGATAAGATACCCTCCATTGCTGAGAAATTAAATATTAAATTAACGCCAAGAGACTTAAGGCATACAGATCCTAAAACACAATTACGTGCTGTATATTCTCAATGGCTTCCTTTGGCTCGAGCATGTAATAATATGGTATGCGAAATAGTACCATCACCACGTAATTTATCCGAAGAAAAGATTGAACGTTTGATTAGCGGAAATACTGATTTTTCAACTTTACCTGAGGAAATGAAACAACTTAAAAAAGCATTTTTAGCTTGCAATTCTTCATCAGAAGCACCAGTAATTGTATTCATTTCTAAGATGTTTCCAGTAGATAGAGAATCTTTGCCAGAAAATAAAATAAAACTCTTAACTTCGGAAGAGTTAGCACAAAGAAAACAAGCTGCTCGACAGAAGCATGCGGAGATGATGCTACAAAAACAATCATCTCAGGAAAAATCTAATGGAGAGTGTGTAGATAATTCTGAGATAAAATTAGATGAAGAACCTTTGACGGATAATGAAAACACCACTTCTTTATTAGCATTTGCAAGAATATATTCGGGTACGCTTAAAGTAGGTAGCGAAATCTATGTCCTTGGACCAAAACACGATCCTGTTAAAGCTTTAGAGTATCAAAAAGCAGGAGAAGATATAGCTGCAGCTACGTTAAAAGATTTGAAACCCGGAAGACATATTACTAAAGTGACTATTGAAAAACTGTTTCTGTTAATGGGAAGAGATCTAGAATCTATTACCGAAATTCCTGCTGGTAATGTATTTGGTATAGGTGGATTAGAAGAGCATGTATTAAAAACTGCAACTTTATCCAATACTATAATTTGTCCATCATTCTCTGAATTAACATCTCTCGCAGTTCCAATTTTACGAGTAGCATTAGAACCAAAACATCCAAATGATTTACAAAAACTGATTAACGGATTGAAGTTACTTAATCAAGCTGACGCATGTGCCGTGGTGCAGATTCAAGAAACGGGTGAAATTATTTTGAATACTGCTGGTGAAGTACATCTGGAGAGATGTTTGGAAGATCTAACATCACAATACGCGAAGGTTGAAATAAATGTTTCTGAACCCATTGTTTCCTTCAGGGAAACAGTTGTACCACCTCCAAAAGTGGACATGGTAAATGAAGTTATCGAAAAGAAGGTAGAAGAAATTAATTTAGAAACGTGGACAGTTAATCGACAATGCTGTTTTGAAATCGATGCTAAGCCACTTCCAGAAAAGGTAACGAAACTATTAGAGAAACATGCCAATCTAATAAAGTGGATGGATCAGAATTTCAATAAATTCTCTAAAGAGAAAGAATATTCCTCGAAAGTTGAAAATTGTCCCGATCAGAATGGATTATCTACTTACAATTCAACCGCATTGGATAAGCAGCAGAAAGCAATGGAAACTTTTGAAAGCGATTTGATGACTGCCTTTAAGGAAGCTGGCTGGAACATAAGTTTAGACCAAATATGGTCATTTGGACCACGAAAATGTGGACCTAACATTTTATTAAATGAGACGGATTATAATCATCGTAATTTTTGGAAACGACAAACTAAATCGACCGATCCTCGAGTTTCGTAAGTATCCGTTTCAACAGAATAATCTATTAAAATCATTTTTGCCCTATTATTATACTACAAGTTTTCATTATTGTCTTCAGATATGACAGTAGTATGGTTAACGGCTTCCAGTTAGCTACGCTCGCTGGGCCATTGTGCGAAGAACCAATAATGGGTGTTTGTTTCATTGTAAAAAAGTGGCAAATATTTCAAGATACAAATGGGTAAGTTACCATTCATTCAATTGTTACATGTGTATGTATTATATTTATATTATATTTCATATTTATTGTATATTTTTATTTTGTCATTCTATAGCGTAAGTGGAAGTCAAAGTCAAGGCCATCTTGGTGGTCACTTGATGTCAGCGTGTAAAGAAGCTTGCAGAAAAGTATTCAATTTAAGACGTCCACGGTTGGTTACGCCGATGTACAGTTGCAATGTCTTGGCCAATTCGGATGTTCTTGGTAAGTGATAATAACCGATAAATATATATGCAATTATATATACGAAGGATACAGAGGTGAAACATGTTCAATCATATTTTGAAAACATTTTAAGAGAGAATTTAAAAATTGTATATATTCTTATAGTTATTCCATACTTCTAAATTTCATAATTTGATGCGAATATGTTTCATTCGTGACCCTTCATATATATGTAATTAAGTTCACAATTGAACGGAAACATTGATATTTCAGAATAATTTTAATCGTACGTATTTGTACATATAATAACGAAAGTTTCATTCATACGTTGATTTACGTAGTTAAAACGTCTTTTTATATTTTATGGCCACAAAATTTTCCGCAGGCGTTTATTATATTTTTCTTTTTGTATCTCTTTGATTTTTCTTTTTTTTTTTTTAATCATACATTTTTCGAGATTTATATAAAACGTTTGATCTAACATTATATATTTAAATTATACTCTAAGAGAAATATCCTATCCTCCGGAAACGTTTCAATTGATAGACCTCGATACCTTAAGAAACGTTAGTTAAATTCATGTTATTGCCAAAGGAGTAATAGCGTATATCATAAATAAATAGTTTGAGAAGAAGTAAAGGCATATGTATACCTATATTTAAATCGATCATAATCGTAAGCGAATTTGTTTCTGCCACGCTTAATTGGAGAGTCTGTATAATGGCTGATATAATATATAACGATAATCGATTTTCTATACTTGCAATTAAACGAACTGACCTCGCTGACGATTTATAATCAATATTAAAATTTTTCCTTCTTACAAGATCGTCTTTACTAATGAACGCTTTCATTTCGATCCTATTTTAAGTAGATTAAATTTACGTGAGACATTAGCATAGACGAGCAGGAATGATGATATTTCATCGTAATAATAATGATAATAGTAGCATAGTATTAAAAAGCTATTCGTTTAAAAACCTATTAATATATACTTATATATATATCATAATTAATCGTTATACATTTTCGATCGTGTAAGTACATTAACTTACATATACGTAAGTATCTGTAACTTTCATGTATTACATGCAATTCTTAAGATCTACTTTCTGGGACGAACAATAAAAATTTCGAATCTTCGATTTGAATTCTCTTTATCAAGACATTCAACGACATTAAAGAAAAATATAATGAAAATTTACTATCTGTATTTTTGTTTTCTTCTTATGTCTTTTTCTAATCCAACTAATTTTTGTGCCAATAATTTCGAGTTTTCAGTGTTTAACTTAATGAATAATATAAATATACGAGTATATATATATATATATATATATATATATATATATATATATATATATCTGCAAAGTATAATAATATCTCTAAAGTATAAACGCGAAAAAGGATGATATTGTAATAAATAAAGAAATGAAATGAAGCCGTGTATATGGATGGTTTAGTAAAAAAAAAAAAAATAGAAAAAAAAACATATGCATAAAGGAAAGACAGTTAAAAAGATAAAAGTGAATTGTAGTTTGTGAAAGAGGATAAAAATTAAAAGTTCCATAGAGATATAAATAGCTAATATAAAAAAAAAATTGGAATTGAAGAAAATCATTCCCAAACTGCCGTCTTCATTAACTGATCAACCTTATCCCAAGGAAATTCTGGTTTATCATCATCACCGAATAAAAATTGTTCGGTATTTTCTTCCAAATTGTTGTTGAAACCTGAAATGAAATTTCATGAAAAAAAAAAAATCGAGTTTCAATTACTTTTGTCAATTAAAATAAAAAATATCATATATAGTAGAAAGATTAAAGATAAAGTGGTATTACTGACCCATAAGACTACGTATATGTCTTAATGGTCGACCTCTTCTATTTCCTTGTACGCACATCATTCCATATACGCGAATTCCTGGTACACTAGCATAAGTTGGTTGATCGTGGCTCATAGGACCCTCTGCAATAACAATGAAAAGAATTTTTTTTACTAAGGTCATCCATTTTTTTCTTTTTTTGTTTACACGAATATTATTCTCCCAAATATGTTTGTTTTTTTTTTTTATATTCTTTTCTTACCAAGTATATTTGAATCTGGACATCGGCATATCACCAAATAATGAGATTTTCCCGTTCGAGTGTTTTGAAGGGCTAGGAGTGACCAATCCCTCGGTGCTCTGCATTCACGCATTTCAGCCACCGGTTCGCACGTTTTCACGAGTGTTAAAGCCTGGAATATAAACGACATATATATATATATTTTTTTTTCTTTTTTTTCCTTAGTAGTTAACATAGTAGTAATTAACAATAGTAATAGAAACGATATATGTCATTCGTTCAATTCATTCGTCCCTTTCGCTCCGGAATGGTTGAGACAAAATATAATCGCTGGATACGGAGGGTTTTGTTTTTTCATATTTGATAGTGTATTTTTGAGGAACGTATATATACGCTCTTCGTACATTATTGGTCTTCTCTCTCTCTTAAAAAAAATATGTATATATAAGTATATGGGTTCTTATAATTACATTACTTTATGGTGGGTTTTAAGCAAAATAAAGGAGAAAGAGAACAAAAAAAAGGAGAGAGAAAGAAAAAAAGTGAACACGTGCGTCGACTGCGGTTTCTTTAGCAGACGAGTTACGTTTTGCGAGGTCGTTACACCGGTTGAAAGTGAGTGAACGTTTCTTGCGGACCGACATTGCCGGTTTTCTATTTCTTCTCCTTCTTCTTCCCTTATGTTGTCGTCCTTCTTAAGTTTCACGAAGTTTCTGCATTGCATCACTGAAGAGAAGAAACTAAGAGATAGACGAATAGGATGAGCACAAATGCACAAAAGAGCAAAAGCAAAAGCACCACCACGAGCATGAGCACGAGCCGTAGGCATTCTCAACAACCGGTAACCAGAATCCTATCGCTCATTATCCATACGGAATTGCTTCGTGACGAAGTACACAACCACATCCTTTTCTTCCTCTTTCTTCTTCTCCTTTTCTTCATCCTTTTCGTTTAATTAATATGTATCGAGTAATTGGCGAGCATGTACTATAGGAAATACACGGGGTGGTTGGTTGGTGGTGGTGGTATAAGTTTTATCATAATAGAACATTTATCTTCAAATCAAACGAATCCGCGATCGATATTTCAATATTATTTTTCTGTTTCTTTTTTTCTTTTTTTTTATCGTTAAAATATTAACCCATTATCTGGTACTATCCCCCATTTGGGAATTTTCAAATTTTGCTTACACCAACTCTGTGGTTACACATGGATTGTTATAAATAATAGCTATTTTTGTATGTATAAGATAACGTATATAATAAAAGAAATATATATATATATATATATATATATATATATATATAATAGGGTGGGTCAAAAAAATGAATTTTTTTTTTTTCAAGTGCCACGGAAAAATGGGTTGCTAGAAACCTTAAAACAATTCTCACCAAACATGAGCTCTTAATTTTAATAGGAAGATCCTCCGCATCGCAGTTTTATATTTTTTTTCAGTCCAATAGAATAAAATTCATACCTCATCATTTATTGATTGTACAGAAAAATGTTCTAGAAGAATTTTGTAGGAAATTTAATGCTCTACAAAAAAGTTATCTTATATTTTTTCCGTATATGAATATATATATATAGTTTCTTATTAGTTTTTTTTTTCATGTTCCCAATAGGAACAATTTCTTACATATTTGCCAATTAATGGGGGTTAATACAGGTAACCTTCTTATAATACGTTTAAATGGTTTCCTAGAAAATGTCGTTTCGAGTGAAACCGTGTTATATATGAGAATTCAAAATTCATTCATTCCTTCATGTCATTATTTTCAGATAATTTAATTTTTAAATATTATTAAGCAGTTATTGTATTATTCAGTGCCGTAGAAATACATTGTTCTACCAAGATTTTCTCAAATTTTTTTAATCTAAATTTAATAGAAGGTTTACCTGCAATAAGAGGAATTAGGTTGATAAATTGTTGATAATATAATGTAAGAATATAATTATTATAAAATTAGTCGAACATTAGTCGAGTATTAATCGAACAATTGGATTCATAAAACTTGTTGTTTACTTTTTTGATCGATTAATTTATAAACTTCCTACGTAAAATAAATAAATATAGTAATCTTGTTACCTTGGTACGCGGATCGGTGACCAATTCGGTGGTGTGATGATCGTCACTGTCAAGGGAAGCACTGCAGGGGTCGCGGTAACGTCCAGGACAGGCGCAAAGTGGTTGAGTGAAGTTCAATCGTACGTAAACGGCATTGCAAACTTGTTGGACCGCACACTCCGGAAGCAAATAAATGTGCTGATTGTGAGGATAATAATGATACTTGGTTGGCTTAGCCAATGCCGCGCTTGCTCCTTCCGGCAATCTTACTCCTGTCTGCAAAATAGAGTGCTGTGTTTTAAACGAACATTTCTTTTTTTTCTAACTTTTAAATAGCTCGCGAATAAACGTTCCTGTCTATTCTAATGATTAATATTTATATATATATATATATATATATATATATATATATATATANTATGTAAATTGTATTAATAATTATATTTTTTTTTTATTTCTTTTGAGTTATTTCTTAACACGTTGTCTGTAACATCATAGTTTTTTTTTTTCTTGTAATTGGATCCACGAGGGGGTCCCCCAACGTTATTACATAGTATTGCATTTAATCTTAACATTGTGGTTTCTATTGCGGTCAACGTAATTAAATGAATCTTTAAAAATATTTTACATACAATTTAGTTATAATTATTAGGATGCATATTAGAAAAAATGAGTTTTTTTTTTTTTTTCTATTAATTCTTCGTGTATCTGAAAAAATATTCCGCGTCGTTCATATTATAGTATACGAATGTCATTAAAAGAAAATATTTATTATTTGAATTACATTCAATATCGTATATATTTGAATGATTTTTAATCGATCGAAACAAGATTTTCTCGAGTAGTAGTAGTGGTAAGGAACTAAACACAATCTCTTCGTTTGCATGTCGAACGCCGGTTAAAACGAT